TGTTGTTACATGTTGAAATAATATTTTGATATATTGGATGAAGTGTTATTAAAATAAATTCCACTTTTTAATGTAGCTAATGAAAATCTAACATATTTAACATGTTTGCAGTGGACCGTGCTGGTAGAGAACATTCATCGAATGCATTTCTCCTTGTAAACTTGAAAGCAAGATGTAAAATTCCTTTCTTCCACAAAAACGTGAGGGGTTGTTATTATCTGCAAGGGCTGTGCACAGGCACTTTTCAAAGGTACGAGCCTGATCTCAACCTCGTGTCCATGTAGGGGAGAACCAGGTCTGTGCAAATGACCCGGGGCTTCTGGACCTCTGGGCTGTGTGATTTCCAGAGTCCCGCCAGGCCAGTACAAGCAGCACTGGGGCCATTCCTGCTCCTGTTGGAGGGATCGTGTGACACTCCTGCTCCCTCGTTACACTCTTGTAGAAGCCGAGGCGGATCTTCACGGCTGGTGTTGGAAGGGGGACCTCCTAGCAGGGAGAGGCAACAGGACCCATCTCGAATGCCCTTGGCCTTCTTCGTGGGTGTCGGGGGAGGGGTGTTGCGTTGGTGACCATCCCTGCACCCAGCACACCATTCTCAGGAGGGCGTCCTGGACTGCAGCACAGTTAGTCCAAGACAGAGAATTACAGGAAAAGGTTGCAGAGGGCAGGGGACAGGCAGCAAAAGAAACACCCGAAGGAATATGAACGTACAAAATATTGCATATAGTTAGTTCATGGCTTGTTCTGGGGTGCTCATAGAGGTCATCCTAGGTGGTGGCCCACGGTTTCTCCTTCCCAGCTCTGACTGGCTTAACTCCCGCCACTGAGTAACACACACCAACACTGCAAGATGACATGCGTGGTTAGGTGATGTGCTGGGTGGGGGCAGTGTATGGGACACCCTTGGGGTCTCCCTTTACACGGCCACTGTGAATGATCCTCTCCCCTTACACCATGGCTCTCGTCTGCAGACAGATGGGCAAAGGGTTGGGTGGGAGCTCACTTTCTCTCCCGCTGTGCATCAGTGTCTCTTGCTCAGGGAGATGTGGAAAGAGGGAGAACAGAGGCTTCTTAATGTTTTGTTGACTGTCTACAATGTGCCCGGCACAAACCTGGTATAAGCAACGGGTAGTATCATCCCACTTTCATATTTGTGAAAACTGTGCCTTGAGCTTATCTTAAGTCATCAAAACTTAAATCATTTGCCTGAAGACACATAGCTAACCAACAGCAGACTGGAGATGTGAGCAAGGCTGTCCATCTTCAGAGCCATCTGTCCATGATGCCACAACGGACAGCTATGCCCACATGGAGGGTCACATCCACTTCATGCTCTCACCGCTGGCATTCAGAGAATATTACAAGTTGAGGACTCAAACTATTAAGCATTATTTTAGCTGAGAGATGCTTGGGCGTTTGGGTCAAAAGGCTGGTGTAGTGCAAGTCAGGAGAAAACTTGGCTGAGTTTCCCCCCCTCTGGTGTCAGAGAAAATGTCCAAAGGAGGGGCTCATGGAATTGGTGACTGGGTCATGATTTCTCCAAGGTCCTTGAGTTTCCGCTCCGCACAGGACCTCCCTATGACCTTGGGTCAAGATCCAGGGCCATGGGAAAGGCAGGGGAGCACAGCCTAGGAGTGTTTTAATTGGCTGATACATTCACAAATGCCTAGCTCACGTTTCAAAATTAAATAACGATGTCAACAGTTCATCTCCCAAGCACCTTACCATGCAAAGCGCCCTTTTGTGAGAAAACAGGCTTCAGGCACATTAATTCCAGGAGAAGGCTGCTCCGCTTACGTGGGAGACAGGGGTGGAGAACACGATGCCTCTGGACTGGCTGGTGTCTAGAATGTTCTCTGGAACACCTGTTAGTTCATCACCCTGGCACCTGCCCACGGCCACTCCTGCCCTCCGTACCCGCTGGGCCTCAGTGTGGAGCCACCTTCTCTGCACACATTCAGCTCCCATCTTCTCAGATCTGTCTTCTTCTATTTCAGAAACTACTCAAAGTTTCTCAACTTGCACTTCTGTGTCTTGAGAGTCATTATGGAGTTTTTGAAGTTCAGTTCAACGGGACAGGGGCAGATAAAAGTGACCTTTTTATCTTTTGCCAGCTCAAGACATGACCTTTGACTTGTAAGTGACCCTGCTTCCATTTTACTGGGGGAAGCTGATGACCAGGTGGGCTGCCCAGATAAGGTGTGTAAATTACCTCTGAGTTTGCCAAACTGCTTGTCCTTTTCTGGCTTATTTCCCATCCTGTTTTAAGATGGCAAATTATAAAATGCTTCTTTATAAACGTTCTGTCCATTAGTGATTCATCTAAAATGCAGCCTAACTGTAGCAGCTATATCCTTCAGATCCGTGCATCAAATACTATTTCTCACCAAGCAGAGCTGGATTTCAAAAGCAAGGCTCACCTTCCCATGGAAAGCACATCCAGGCCCCAGGATAACTAATTAATCACTGTGAGCTGTGAGCTTACCTAACGAATGCTTCTGTCTTCCTATGTGCTTCAGATTATTTTTTCTTTAGCTAGATTTTTAATATGTGTTGACGAACCAAAAGTTCCTTATATTCTTGGACAGCATCGAATTTCTGGTTCTCTTGCAATTGGGTACATCTCCCACCCCACTGCGCCCCCACCTGGCTGAATTTGGTACATCTCCCACCCCACCGCGCCCCGACTTGGTGGAACTAATGACCGGCTCTGCAGGTGTTTCCTCAGCAGAAATTTCATCTCTACCCTATTTCCCACTCCCCAGCAAAACAATCAAAGCACGTGCCCAAATTAATTTTTTTTATTTTGCATACATAGGAAACAGGACCCTATCAAAAGGGAACAGAAAAGAGAAATGAGCCCAGTGTTGCAGAGGAAAAACATGCCCAGATCTGCTCCAAGTTCACTCCCAACCATGACTCGATGGGACTTCAACACGCCAGGAGCTGGACTCACTCGGGAAGGCGGGCACACTCCACAGACAGCACAGAGGAGACGAGAATGGCCGGGAATGTCCACACACAGGGCCAGTGTTCCCCAGAGCAGGGTTCTCACCCAGGTTCACGGGAAAACAAAATGTATCTTACACAAGCATGGGGATGCAAAACTGTTGGGTGCCATCGAAATCGTCCAGTCTCGAGATCGTTTGCTATCAAAAAGATCAACCAGGTTTTGTCACGGACACGTGGGTGCACCCAATCCAGAGGCAGCCCTTAATGTGCTTCTTTATTTAAAAAAAAAACCAAAAAAACAAAAAAAAAACCCAACAGGTAAAGGGAGAAATCGGAGTGAAAAATGCGAAACAAATGACCTGGAGGACAAGGAATTTTTGGACCCATGAAGTTGTCCTTGGTTGTAAACAGCAAACATTGTGCTTTATCAACTCATTTCAATTGAGGACCCCTGTGTGGGGAGGTCCCACAGTCAGGGACTGGAGTTCAGAGGTCACAAGAGGGTGATCAAAGACACGGCGGCAGCTGTGCTCAGACTGTTTCCGAGGGCAGTGGTTTGGCTCCAGGTGTTTCTGGTGGAATCCCCGGGAGGTCCCAGAGTCTCCGTCCTTAGAGGGGGGTCCGTCTGAGCGGTCACTTGGGCTTCATCCTGACTCCCCGATGCCACCCCACAGAGACATCCCAGGAGAGCAGGGACATTAGACTCTTCGTCAGCGGGCATGAGAAGCACAGAGTCCACTCCAGCGAGATGTCCTGGTGCTCAAGTTCAATGAGTAACAATTTCTCAAGGGCTCTGAGTCGCTCATTTAAAACAAAAGCTTCGTCCATCCCCCCAACCCCCGCCCCCCGCCATTCCACTACTACACACACAGGGATCTAAGCTGCTATGCAGGACCCACCAGGTCTCCATCTGGGTTTAAATACTACTCTACCATCATTACTAACTACACAGGGACAGGGCCTCCCTGCTCACTGTCCACACCCCTGGGGACAGGACAACTCCCACTATCCCAGGCTGAGATCGGTTTCATACCCAGGCGTTGCCTTTCCAACCACAGCGTCTTCATTCTCGTTGTGATCAAGTTGTCAGTGAAATCTATTCGCTTCTTCTGGAAGAGATCTACCTGCCATCCTGGCATTTTGCGTCCTGTCCTTTTCTTAGCAAGCTCCTCCTCTTCGGAGACCAGCACCCACCAGCTAAGAACACACAAACCACAGCTCTGGTCTGCCCTGTGGAGCCACCTGTCTCCAAGGGGCTGATGTGACTTCCCAGCCAGAGCTGCCTTGGCGAAGCATGTGAGGCCTCTGGTTATGATCAGACACTTACTCCATCTGACCTCAAAGGACAGGACCCTACACGCGCTTCCATAAATGCACGAAAAAGGGGGAAACATCGCTTTTTTTCCCAAGTCAGACCAAGAGCTCATAAAATGTAATGTCCCAGTTTGGGGCAGGTAGCAATTGCCCGTGAATCTAAATAACTTTCCCCAGAGATTTTCAGAGAACTGTAGACATCCAACTTGGCCTGCTTCTGGACCCTTGTCTCGGTGCGGTGACAGCTGTGCACGGCCTCTCCCAGCCTGGCTGCGCAGGAGGGACCTCGCTCTCTCTTCCGGAAGTGATGGAGACACAAGCGTGCTAAGAGGCTGCTTCTCCACCGAACGTCTCTCTAGCAGCTTCCTGAAGAGGAAGACTGGCAGGATGAGGGCTCCAACAGCTGACCCCGTGGGGCCTCATTCCAGCAGAGGTGGGAGGACGCTCTCCTGTGAGGCGCACCTGCCCCCCCACCCCGTGCTCTCACCTGCGCTCCCCACACACCCCGGCCCTGCCTCGCCTCCTCCTTTGCTTGGTCTCTCTCCTGAGGGTCTGGGCATGCCACCCTATGGTGTCAACCCTTGGGGACTGTCTGCGCTCTGCCAGAGCACAGATTACATCAGAGACAGAAGGACACAGGGTGAATTCAAATATTGGTCATCCACGGAAAACTTGAAAGGGAGCCGTACTTGCTTTGAAGATATCCAAGAGGAACTTGCCCTTAGCGGCTCATAAGATCATCCCAGAAGCGAACGTTGATGGGGACAGGCAGACTGAAAAAGCCGCCCCGTCGCCCCTGCAACATCCCCCAGGCAGGCCCCTGGCCAGCACCCCGCTACTTGGCCTTCACCACCTGTTCGTACGGCGGTGGGGGCGTGTTGCAGTAGGAAGGGGGTGGTGGGTAGGCCGCACTTCCCAGGGGTGAGTTGGGTTGGACCTGGAAAGCCATCGCTGTGGGGTTCCCGGCATTCAGTCCCAGTCCTCCAGGGTCGGTGTAATATGACAGCCCCGGCTGCTGGGCTCCTGAAAGACAGACAAACAGATGTGAGCACAGCAGAGAAAACCGACCACCATCACACCAGACCATGGCCAGGCTAGGGGCGCCATGGAGGCCGCTGCCCCGGTCGTTCGCCCAGCTGACAGGCAGGATGGCCAACACCCCCAGACACCTGTATGCCCAACAGATGCCACCTTGACCAAGTACCGCCCCCTCTCACACCTGTACGCCCAACAGACGGCACCCGCTTCTGCCCACCACCGAGGGACGTATCTGCTGATAAGCCATTGACCAGCCATGACCATGAGTTTCCCAATGGCAGAGATTATGTTTTCTTTATCTCTGGGTCCCTTTCTATGTTATACAAACAGAAAGTTAAAAACAGGTTTTAAAGAGAGGCTATTGTAATAGTCCAGGAAAGACATAATGGAAGCCTTTGAATATGCGAGAAATGGGGAGCCGAGAATGACAGGTACTCAGGAGGTGTGACAAAAGGACCTGGGGACCAGCTCAATGTGGGAAGCTTGGGATGGAGAAGAGGTCTAAACAGAAACGACCCCGGTTTCTGGTCTCGACTAAGGGGGCCCGGCACGCAGGAGCAGGGGTGCAGGAGAAGGGCAGGGCCGAGGAAAGTGCCACGCTGGACCTGCTGGAGCCAAGGTGGCTCTGGAGCTCCTGTGTCGGAGCGGGAACAAGAACACAGGTGTGGCTAAAACCACCCAGGCAGCCTGCAGGGAGGGACAGGAGACGAGCGAGAGGAGGGGATGGCAGGAAAGGCCAATACTCAAGACAGGAAAAGAACACAAAATGTTTAAGGGCAATGACAGGAATGCCAAGGGGGCTGGGAAGAAACTGAGCAGCAATGAAGCAGGACCTGGGCCATGGCACCAAAGGGAAAGGAGACTTTTTAAGAAGGAAGACGTGGTTCGTCCTCTACAAGGTCAAAGAAAGGTCAAAGTAAGAATGGCAAACATTCAGTGACTGTGGCATTTGAGATTTCTTGCCAGTATTTTCATACAGTGGGAGGCACAAAACCCCAACTGCAGTGAGCAAAAAGCTATTTGGGGGGAGGGGCGAAGACTAGACAGGGTGGTCGCTACAAAGGATGCAGGCAAAGGAAGATGTATTTTTAAGGATGGAAACTGCCTAAGCATGTTTATAGGGTGTGGGGACAGATACAGAGGAAAGAGGGGATTTCTAGGGGAGATTATCCAATGAGGGCAGGAACCTTATATGTCGGCGTCAACATTTGGACCTGATGCCTAGCACACAGTCCAGGGCACAGGAGGGCACCCCATCCTCTCTGTCCAATGGGCACAGAGAACTGGTATTTTGGTCTGCTTCATGGTGTCCGATAGGTCCCTTAGGCTCTGCTCGCTTTTCTTCCATCTTTTTCCTTTCTGTTCCTCAACTCTGACAACTTCCATCGCTCTATCTTCAAGTTTGCTGATTCTTTCTTCTGCCTGCTCAAACCTGCCTTTAAATCCCTCTAGAGAATTTCCTATTTCAGATACTGTACTTTTCAGCTCCAGAATTTCTTGTTAGCATCTCTTTGGGTTTTCTCTCTCTCTCTTGGTATGCCCATTTTGTTCACACATCGTTTTGTTGACTTTCTCCCCGTCTTCCTTTGGTTCTCTGAGCATCCTTAAGACAGTCATTTTGAAGATTTGTCTGGCAGATGTACCACGAGTCTTTTTCAGGTATAGTCTGCTGATGTAAGTTTTTTCCTGTGAATAGGCTATATTTTCCTGCTTCTTTGTGTGCCTTGTTTTTTGGTTGAACGCTGAACATTTGAACCTAATAATGTGATAACTCTTGAAATCAGATTCTCCACCTTCCCCTGGTTTTGGTTTTGTTTGGCTTGCTTGGTTTTTGATGGTTGCAGGCTGTTCCTGTGGTGAGGATCAGCCTGAAGTGTGAGCTTAAGGTGCTCCCAGGTGTTTTCCAAGCTGTCCTCTGGGGATGTGCAGTCACTTTCTAATTTTTCCTGCATATGCAGTTGTTTTTTAATGCCCGATTCTTTAACATCTGGCTCCTGACAGGGGAAAAAGTAAATAACGAAGGGGTCTGGGAAGGACACCAGCCATTCAAACCCCCTGGAGGTCACCTCAGTCAGACAGGAGGGGGCTTGCAACAACGTGGGGAGATTCGACCACGGTGACTGCTTTCCTCTGTGTCTTCGCCTCTTTACTCAGTAGCAGCAAAGAACGATGACAACACAGACCCCAGATACTTGGAGCACAGGGTCATTTTGGCCCACCCTGACGACTCCTGTTAGCTGCGTGCAAGCTCCTCATGAACAGCACACAGCTGCCTGTCAGGTAGCCTGGTGTGGGGGGTGGGTAGCTTCTGCTCTGCTAAGAGTGTGAGTTTGCTGAAATTAACTGCAAATTAGCATCCAAGTCTTCCCCTGGAAGTTGCACGCCTTCAACAGACTCTATAGAGTCGCAAAATAGTTACATGACAGTTTCCTGCCAGTGTAGTTGTTGTCTAGGTGAGGGACAGCTCCTGATGCTTCCTGCTCTTAAGTTTTTCTTTTATATACTTTGAAGGTATTCAATACATGGCTCAAGTTATAGCTTCATTTCACAAAATTATTTTTATCAGTAGTAAAAAGACTTCCTTTTTATATGAGTACATGTTAGGAAAATCATGGCTTATTTCTTTAAAAAAAAAACCACACACAGAAGACGGGATCCTGGGAAGCCCCAAGAACGGAACCTGGAGAGGAACTAACTTTGTGTATTTCCTCTTGTGCATGTTATCCAGCACACAACAAGGCCTCTTCTACGGCTTCTTTGGGAGGTCGGGGAAGGAGGGGAGTTGACAGCTCTGTACGTACTAGACATCTAGCCTTCAGGCCGCCCTGTCAGGGCTATGGAGAGAATACAGTTGAAATGCTGTTGACACACATGAGTACTGGGGCCCTAACACCCCACAACAAAAGGCACACAAGCCTGGTGAGCAAGGGAAGTTGGAAATAAAATCTTTCCCCCCAGAGGTTTGACTTTTTCTTTACCCGGTGGTATAATTAAGAAGGTGAGTGAAGAAAACAGTTTAGTTCGCTGACAGTTTTGTTTTTGTTTTTTTT